TATAGATTTATAAAAATGGGTTAATTTAAGATATAAGAACAGTTAACAAGAAGCCTGCCACGGCCATACAGTTTATAAGTGATACAAGCGTCTGAGTGATTATTTTGTAAGTGGACTGTGGGACTGCGGGGCTTGGGGAACCTGGAGAGAAGCTCTCCAGCAACAAATAGGAGCTACCAATTACCTGTCAGCAAGGATCATCAGCAGAGCCATCAGGGAAACATAAATTCAGCATTAGATATTTAATGCGTGCTCCTTCAGGAATCACTGCTTTAGAACTAGCAGTGTGCAAACATCTTACATTATCTCACAAATTCCTTGTTATAAGATAGCCACTCAAGAGTATTGTCCTATTCCCCCAGGGATAGTAGAAATAATTATGGGAAGAAATAGCTTAACATCTCAAGGATTTATAGTATACCCAGGAATTATAGATGAAGATCACAAGGGAGAAATTAAAATGATGGCATTTGTAGAAAGGACTATGGAAATAAAACCTGGGAATAGAATGGCTCAATTATTATTGCTTCTATATCTTAAAGACAAAGCAGCATGCATATGTAGAACTGGAAGCTTTGGGAGTAGAGGGGGAAATTATTTTGGCCAACAGTTTTCAGTGATGAATGGCCTAAATTAAAAGTCAAACTAAGTGGGATTGAGATTGAATGATTATTGGTTTCTGGTGCTGATATATCTATACTTTCACAAGAATCCTGGGATCCTAACTGGCCTTTACAAGAAGTCTCCACTCAATTTATAGGCATTGGCACCTTATCTCAATTAAAACAGAGTGTAGAGTGGGTTTGATATATAGGGTCTGAAGGACAGAAAGGAATAGTAAAGCCTATGCGGCTGAGAGACTCATGAGTTTATGGGAAAGAGATTTTTTACAACAATGGGGAGCTCAAGTTAATATTCCTATGATTTCAGAGACAGCTCATAAATTGAGGTTAAAAGTGGGGCCATGTGCCTGGGAAAGGTACTGGAAATAATTATAGACAAAGTCACAGGCTACACAGATTGTACAAAAGCTAGATCAGACAGGAATTGGCTATCCAAAAAATACAAAGGGATTCTCTTAGTTATTTAGGTTATAAATTAAATAAAGAGAGAAGTCAGTAGCAAAATGTAAAGATTAGGAGAGATCAGTTGTTCTTAATGAGTTTCAAAAATTATTGGGTGATATTAATTGGTTGCATCATACCATTGGACTGTCTACTCAAGAATTAAGTAATTTGTTTCAAATTTTGTAAGGTGACTCAGATTTAAGCAGTCCAAGACAATTAACAGCTGAGATTGAAAGGTAATTAGCTCAAGCAGAACAAAAACTACAAGATGCCTATGTAGATTGAGTAGATCTCACAAATAAGTGTATTGCAGTAATTTTGCCTTCTACCCATTCCCCTACTAGACTTATTGTGCAAATGGAAGATAATATTTTAGAATCTATATTTTTAGTTCACAAACAGAATAAAAAGTTAAAGACCTATATAGAAAAGGTTTCTGAATTAGTCATAAAGGGAAGAATAAGACTTTGTCAATTGTTGGCAATGAATCCAGCTGAGACTGTATCACCCTATACTGATACTGAAATTGTGCAGTTGTAGGAGATTAATGATGATTGGCAGAGAGCTTGTAGTAATTTCTTAGGAGAAATTAACAACAATTACCCAAAAATAAGTGGCTACAAGTTATAAAAAGAACTGAGTGGATTCTTCCCCACATAGTGAAGAGAACACCTATTCCTGGGGCTCTTGCATTCTATACTGATGCAAATAAATTAGGAATGGCTGGTTACAAACAAGAGAACATCAGTAAGGTTGTTCAAAGCCTATATGATTTGATTAAAAAAATCAGAGCTGTATGCCCTTTCTGATGGTTTTATTAGACTTTAATGGGTCTCTTGATATAATTACTGATTCTCAATAAGAGAAAGGATTGCATTGCATATAGAAACTACTAAATGTATTCCTGATAATTCAGAATTAACTTTACTATTTATAGAACTACAACAGGCAATACAAGAAAGCAATTGCCCACTTTATATTACCCACATCCTATCTCATACTGGGTTGTCTGGACCTTTAGCAAAAGGAAATGAGATTGATCAGTTATTGACAGGAAATGTCTGGGAAGCTTCAGAATTTTATAAGAAACATCATATTAAAGTAAAAGTTACAAGAAAAAATTTTCCATTTCTTGGCAACTGGCTAAGGAAATTATAAAAAATCAAGGTCCTTCACCTGCAGGTACTAATCCTAAAGGTACACAAAGGAATGAAATTTGGCAAATGGATGTGTTTCATTTACCAGAATTTGGAAAATTAAAATATGTTCATGATAACATTGATACATATTCAAGGTTTCAATGGGTTTCTGCCTTGAGGTCTGAAATGCTGATTCTGTAATTACACATTTATTAGAAACAATGGCTGTAATGCACCTACTGATACAAATTAAAACTGATAATGCCCAGCTTGTGTTTCCAGTAAAATGAAACTTTTTTTTTCACATTGCAACATTAAACATGTTACAGGAATACCATTTAATCCTACATGGCAAGCAACTATTGAAAGATCTAATCATACTCTAAAGGAGATGCTTGCTAAACAGAAGGGGGATATGAGGACCCCAGTGATAGACTGCATAACTAACTTACTTACTAACTAACTGCCTTACTAACCTTACATTTTCTAAATGTTAATGAAACAGAGACAACAACTACTGAAAGGCATTGGACCATAGGAAAAAAATGATGATTTTAATCAGCCTGTGCACTACAAGGATGCCATGACATCTGTATGGGAAAAAAGGGAGGTGTTATTATGGGGTCATAACATATATGCTTATGTTTAAACAGGAGATACGAAATTCTGGATCCCATCAAAATGATAAAAATCTGAGCAAGAGACATCTCCCAGATACTGCAGCTACAGAGATGCCTCTGTGACAGACAAGACACAGGAGGCCTCTGGAACAAACAACTAATTCTCCCACCTGGGGACAGCTTAAGAATTTGTGTGACAAAGGGGAGGCCATACTTCACATGACTCACAAACCTCTTAATGCTACAAACTTATTTCCTGCCCTGCTTTCAGTGGTGATGGTGCAGGTAAAAGGGATGGATCATAATTATTGAGCCTTTATTCCTAATCCCCCAATTAATTTAGCAGTAGGTTGGGGAGGTACAAATATTCCTGTAATTGTCAATGAATCTTCTTGGATACCTGATCCTTATGACAACCGAAGTCCTGCTCAGCCAATGAGGAAGGTAGAGTGATTAATAATTACACTGTGGAAGTACGAGGAATTCCTATTTGTATGGGAAATGAAATTCAATGTTTAAATATAACCTTTCAAGTATAGCTATCCATAGTCAACACTACCCAAGATTATCACAATAAATTTTATATGCTCTATGTGTATGGTTTCAAAGGACAGTAGATTAATGCTACTATTTCCATAAATCTACCATTCTGTGAGATGAGGGTTACCAACAAGGAATCTGACTGGGTGCATTGGCGACAATGTAATAGTGAGAAACCTCAAGTGCTAATTAATGTCTCCCAAGAAAACATCATAGAGTGGAGCCCCTATTGCTTCCCTCAAGGAAAATAGTGTCACTCGGAGTTAAGGTGGAAGTAGTATAGTTTGAATGGAACTGTAGAAATCAGTGCTTCTGTTAATGAACCTATCCAACTACGTGGAGTTGGGATGTCAAGGCGTTTCCTGCAATCTGGCAATTCAATTCAGACTAACTTGTGGAAATTGGCAAGTTCCTCCCACCCTCTAAAGCATGGGAAGGAAAACCAAACATTTAGGATGATAAGTATACTTTGTAATTTAAACTAAATCAAAGCCATCCTTTTATGGCATGCAAACCATTACTTTACTTGTTTCTAAATGGGCCTGTACAATGGCACCCTAATAATTACAGCATCACTTGTGAATGCTGGACCCTTCATACCTGTGTTAATTCAATATACCTTTAAACTTAACCTCTGAAAATTTGTACATTCATAGAGCAAGGCTAGCAATCTGGATATCCATGAGGTTACCGAAGCTATGGCAAGACTCTCCTGTGATGATCCTGGTACAGAAACTCACTGAACGAATATTAAAAAGGACACATCAAATGGTTGCACTGGCTATTGCAGTTATTATCAGAATTATGGCATTAATGGCTGCAGCTGCAATAGATGGAGTGACGTATCATAAAGAAATTCAAACTGCTGAGTTTGTCAGAAACTGACACAAACACTCTTATGAACTTTGTACTGAACAAAGTAGGGTAAATAGTGAGATAGTGAGTTAATTGATTTGAGACAAACTGTTATAGTTCACTAATAACAAACTTATTTCATTGTTGGGAGATCAGTTATAAATATTAAAGGAGCAGATAAAATTAAAATGTGATTAGAACATTACATCTTATTATATTACACCTTTAAAGTTTATTGAAAGCAAGTATGATTGGGAAAAGGTTAACATGCATTTTATGGGTCACCCTAATTCTTCTCAAATGATTTCTGATTTACCGCAAGAAATTAAGGAAACTTTTATAAAAAGTTACCTGATATGACAGGAATGGATATTATAGAAGGCCTTGCAAATACTATAGCCTCATTTCCCCCTATGGATCACTTTAACACTTTAATAGATTTATTTTTTAAGCATGTTTTACTTTTGTGCTAGAAATAGTAAACTTAGTGGCTTTAAAATATGTTTTGGCTTACTTACATAATACTGTAAAACAGAAAAATAGGGGGCAAGCTGTCTGTGTTGTGAGGCTATAATCCCCAAACTAATTAATTATTGTATAAGAAAGGGGGATCTGATGGGAGAATTCCCACTGAGTTATACCTGGTCTGGAGCCAGCCTTAATCTGGACTAGCCTTAATCCACCTTTTGTTTCTCAGTTACCTTTTGTTTCCCTTGTTGTTCTCCATGTGAATCTTGCCTGAGAGTTTCCCAAAGGTACAAAACATATGCAAAACATGGTTGGGAAACATCCAACACACTGTGATATTCCTTAATTGAGAATTTGCATTTGGTACCGTCTCTTTGGAAGCTTCATAGGGATGCTTTGAGGAGATGGAAATCAACTTACTAAAAGTGTAAGTTTGTAAAACAATAAAGATGCCCTTGGCTAAGGGAAAGTGTCTTAGTAGTGAGAGGCTGATTCTCCTTGTAGGTGGAAAGACTAAAGACATCCTTAAAGTGTGTTGTGTCTTCTTCCCATGGACCTGTGTGAACCCACACTCATTCAGCAACAACCCTCATCTATTTCCTCTCTTATACATTTATGGACTCCCCTTTCCCCCAAGATGGGAATGGTGCTGTCCACAATATGTCCTTTGTCCTTCTACATTATCAATTAACCATCAGGAGACTTTCAATGGCATGCTCATGGGTCAATGTTATCTAGATGATTCCTCATTAAGACTCTCTTACAAGGTAGTTATAGGTTCTATCTAGCTAACAGGAAAAAAAAAAAAAAAAAAAAAAAAAAAAAAAAAAAAAAAGAGCAACCAAAACATTTTTTTTCCTAACTATGAGAAATGACTTCTAAAATGTTTCCTAATGTTTCCTATGACTGTGAACCTTGTATTTATTCTTTTCATAGAGTCATGGATATCTTGGAATTACCATTCTTCTCTTTATATTATGTATCTTTGTTCTTGATGGATTCTACTAAGTCTGCTACCTTGCCATCATGCTATATTCTTTCTTTTTCCCCTTAAAAAATATTTATGGTGTATATGTGTGTGCATAAGTGTCAGTGCTGGTAAACATATGTCACAGAACACCTGTGAGAACCTGAGAGCAACTTTGTGGTGTCAATTGTCTCCAAATTTATGTGCATGACTGAGACTGAGATCTGATCATAAGGCTTATATGATAAGCACTTCTACACATTGAGCCATAAATAACCCCACCATTCCTTTTATATCTCTATTTATTTTTTCCAATATTTTGTAGATTTTTTTTGCTAATTTCTACTTTCAATTGTGCAATAAAGTTGCTTTTATAACATTCTCTTTAAAATGATGTCATTAGGGGCCGGAGAGATGGCCCAGGGGTCAATAACACTTGTTGATTTTTCAAAGCTGAAATTTGTTTCCCAGCACCCACACTGAGTGGTTTACAGCATTCTATTATTCCAGCTTCAGGGGAACTGACCCTCTGTTCTCTCCTGTGTTAGTATACACCCAGGCACATATGCATTCTCACATAAAAACACACAAACATATAGAAAATAACATATATCTTTGTAAATAATTTTATTAGTTACAACTTTCCAGGGCCTTGCATTTTCTCTGGATCTCCAGGTATACAATGGCAAAACAAGGCATTCTCTTAATTGATCTTCAGTGCATTTTTCCTTTGTTTGAAGGGCTAATGTTCTTTAGTGTTCACAATATCTCTATGATCTGTTTCTGCATGAAGTGTCTTTATATTTTTAACTTTAATAATTTCATGAATTGTTTTTATCATAATTTGTTCCCCTCTTCCATTTCTCCCATATCCTTCTCTCATTCTAGAAGCACCCAGTTTTATTTATTCATTTTTAAAGATTTATTTTTATTTTATACCTTTTACCTGCATTTATGTATATGAACCACAATACATGCATTATCCAGACTATGGCATCAGATCCTCTGGAGTTGAGATAATGAGTCATCATGTGGATACTGGGAATTTAGCCCAAATGTTTTGCAAGAGCACCAAATGTCTTAACTGATCAGCCATCTTTCAGTTTGTAAAGTCATCCAATCCAATTGATGATGCCTATATACTCTTAATATCCAGTAGTTTGGTCAATCATTAGATACCACATTTTTGAAGAAAACTGACTCTTTTCAGGAAGCTTTCAATAGTTTACCAGAGGTCGGACATCATGGCTAAACTCCACCTCCATGCAGGAATTTTGTCTAGCCTAAGTTTGTACAGATCTTGTACATGAGTCACAACTGTTGTACATTCGTGTGTGCAATTGCCATGAGGTGTACAGAAAACACTGTTTTGGTGTAGTCATCTACCACCTCTGCCTCTATAATACATTCCTTCTGCATCAAAAAGTGACTACTGAGCCTTGGGAGGAAAACCTGTTCTATAGAAGTCCCATTTAGTGCTGATCACTCCAAAGTCTTTTAATGTGTGCATCTTTTACAGTTGTCAGTCTCTGTGTTCATCACCATTCATCCATGGATAAACATTTCTGATGATGGTAGGGAGATGCACTAAACTATAGGTATAATGAAAAGACATTACAAGTTGGTTTCTGAAGAATTTTTTAAAAACTCATTCTTGGAGTAAATAGGTCTTGGATATGAGAACTGGTGTCCTTCAGGTATAATGGGAATTACTCAAATATAATGTCCTTAAATATTGGTTCATTATTCCTGAATTATCTGGTTTTAGAGCTTCAACTAGACAATCATTGGCTCTTCCAGTGTCATTTTCTGTCCTTGATTTACTTTTCATGCTTTTGCTTGTTTTACATGATATTTTTATTCTTTGGAGATTTCAAAAATATAATGTATCTTGTTCTACTACACTTGCCAGTACCCCTCCAACACACCATAGGTGCCCAAACACAGCTACATCACAACTTCAAGACTTTTTAAAAAACAAAACCCACTCCGGATAATTTGTGGTACTCATTTCGGCATGAGTGTTATTCCATCCACAAAGGCATGGGAAACCTAACCATGAACATAAACCAAATTAGTAAAAACCCTGACTCATCCAGATGCCATTCATTGCCAATAGCTCTTCAGCCAAGATGGGATCTCAGGACATGCCCCCATCCATGCTGAAATATTAATGGGCTTGATCTCATGTAGTTTTTCTATAGGGTGATCACTGACGATATGAGTTCATTTGCACAACAACCAAGCCAAACGCAGAGGGCAAGATTCACAGAGGACAATTTCACAGCACTCCTCCAGATCCTCTAGCTTTTACATTCTTTCTATTCCCTGTTCTGTTATGTTTCCTGAACTTTGGGTAGTGGAGTGATATGGAAATTGCATCAATTATTGAGCACTCACAGTCAATTATTTTCCATTTTGATCAGTTAAGAGTCTCAACATTAACTAATGCCCAATGAAAAAAGATGAAGGTGAAGAACAGCACAAATTCATGGGTAGAAATATGAACATTTAGAAAGCAATTTGACAACATGACCACTTAGTTAAACATTAGTAGGAGCCCCACTTAGGACCTATGACCACTCCAGCCATGGGGTTATGATTCGGGTTATGGTACCAGGCATGTGTTGCCTCCTTGAGGATCAAGCTTCACATTGAAGCAGACATCACTTAATTACCCCGTAACAGGTGCATCATTATTGCACTGCTGGGCACATCTGGCTTGGCAGGTCTGTATTGTAGCATATAGAATCAATTCAGGAAAAATGCGTCCTATGCAAAATCAGACACTGAAAAATGAAAAGTATAGCTGTGAGAAATTGCAGACAAATGTGAACTGAGAAGAGAGGTAAAGTTCAGATTCCTCTGGTGGTTGTCTGCCCTGGCCCACTTGACAGAGCCCTTTCTATTTTTCCCAAAGAGCAGATCTTCCTCAACACAAGTGCTCAGCTGATTCTAAAAGATCACAAGGATTCCCTCTCCCTCTCTCAGTGTCTCTCTGCCTCTCTGCATCTCTTTGTCTCTCTATCTCTCTATTTTATCACTCTGTCTCTGTCTCTCTGTCTCTGTCTCTCTGATTCTGTCTCTCTGTCTCTGTCTCTGTCTCTGTCTCTCTCTCTCTCTCACACACACACACACACACACACACACACACACACACACACACAAACAGGTACCTATGTCACATACTTCATTGGTGTGATTATTAATGATGTCATACAACCTTGATTCATACCTTCAGTTGATTTCAACCAATAAATTGTTGTATTGATGGGAATCTTTCTTTCCAACACCAAATAATATACCATTCCTTCCATGTGTCTCTGTCATCATATCTTTCTGTTTTCCTAGTATACATCACCATGAGGAAGGTACTGACTTGTATGCTTGTTGAAAATGACTCCCCATTAACACACAGATTTTGTGGTTATTTGTTGTTGGATCCAGGCATTAGATCTTGTCACTGGAGTGTAACAATTAGAGTGTAACCACTAACAGATATCCAGGCTCAGTAGGAAGGTTCAAGCCTTTAATTCCAGAACTCTTGGAGTGGAGAGAAGTGGATCAATAATTCAAGGCCATCCTTGTTTATGTAGCAAGAGTGAGGCCAGGCTTGTTGACACACCCTTTGTAATCATTGCCCAAAATAAATATCTTTTTACTAGTTTCATGACAAAACCACTGTTAATTATCATCTAGACATATGTCATAAGCTTATTACTTGTGTCTTCACTGACATGCTTTTACAACTGTTGTTTGTTTTGAGACAGAGTCTGGTGAGTTCAGGCTGGGACACATTCACTGAGCATCTGCAAAAGACATTGAACTCCAGAACTTCTCTTGTCTCTACCTCCTGAGTGTTGGTATTACAGATCTGTGCCACCACATCTGGCTTGCATTTGGCTTTTCTCATGATGTATATATGTATATGGGTTTATGATGACATGAATGCCTATGTGTGAATGTGGGCATTCTTGTGCTAAGGTTTGAGGTTTGAGTTTGAAGTCAGAAGACAACATCAGGTGTTGCTATCTACCTTGTTTGAAACAAGGTCTCTTATTTCTTGTTCATCTTGTGTGTGCCAGATTAGCTGTTTCCAACCTTCAGGGAAATCTTCTGTCTCCACTCCCATCTCAGGGAAGGAACATCGGTGTGACAAACAGAAGCTGTACCACCATCTTTACATGGTTTCTGAGGATTCAAACTCAGGTCCTCACACAGGCTTGACAAATGCTTTCCACTGAGCCATCTCCTGAGTCCAACTTTCAGCCTCTTTAAGTGACCTAACTCTGTCATGCATTGCCTAATTCACATTTGCTGTACAAATTCTCTGTAGATCATTTACCCTCGCCTCCAGTCCAGTTTTAGACTCTTTGAATTCATGTTTCCTACTAGCCTTACCCTGTCTGAACTCTTGGCTTCTCTCCTGACTTGATTCAGTTAGCCCCTCGGGTAACAGGGAGCAGTGCAAGTGTGCAATGGAAACTGATACATAAAGAGTGAGCACAACCAGAACAAGAACAGTAAAGACACTGGGACTTTGGAAAACACATCAGACTAGCACTGTGAATGGACATAAAACTTTGGCATAAAGTAGAAGGCTATTCTTAGAATGTCTCCAATGATCCACATTTTGGAGGCTGGGTCTCAATGAGACACTCTTAAAAAATATAGTAACCTCAGATATGGATGCCATTGGGTGGGGGCTCTCCCTC